AAATTTAACACAATTGTACAATATTATTGTAAAATGTTTGTAGACATTATAGTAGACATTCTTTTAAATTCTGAAGTAGGTGACTACGTAGAGTGATACATACACTCTAATATTGAATGTAAAAACAATATTGCAAAATTATAATTACTTTTCCTCATCAAATAAATGTAATTTAATGTAATTTGTCGATAAAAGTTTAAAGAAAAATAATCCCAGACAGGTAATTATTTAACAGATTATTATTTCTTCAGTTATTTAAGTTGATTTCTAAACGTAATTCCAAATGGAGATGAAATTTGTACATGATATTATGTAATATTCAGAGAAAAAGCTTAGGTTTATGACGTATCCATAGTTTATGTACTTCATAATATCGGTTAAATACGAAAGAGCATTAATTCATTAATAATGATGTGTCTGGGTATGCGTACACCATGTAAATATGTAATACCTACATTAAGCACATTTCCACAGGTACGGAAAACAGAATTTGATGAACCCTAAATTATAATATTTTGATATTTTGTTCGAAATATTATCAACGGCAAAAACTATACAAGTATCATCGGCGCCAAGTGGTTGTAAGCGAACAACATATTGCAAGTGCGAGTCATACATTAATGTCGCGTCCGCCTACAGTCCAACTCCAACACCAAAATATGTTCTTTTTGTTATCATATTATTATTTTTATAGTCGTAACTGTAAACTTTTCGATTGCGAACTCGTACACGGGATTATTTGTCTCGGGAACATTTGTTAGAACGTAATGCATATAATATACGTATACAACATAATATAATTTTTTTCCCTATTTTATTACACTTTTGACCCGGTTTTTCGTGCGACCACCTTATACCGACACGCAACGCGTGTGATAACGACTAGCTGGAACAACTCGCGTATGGTTTCCATTTCCAGAAAACTATACGATTTTAATCCTTTTCCTCCTCATACGACTTTCCGATTTTATTTCGAGTAATAACGTATAGTTATACATTTACGTTTTAAATTCTTTGTATTTAATTTAAACTTAGGAAAAATAATGAAGATGGTTGGTCGAGCTTAATTGGCTATAATAGTGTGCGACAATCACGTAGTTTATGATAATAAAATAATATTGTGTTATTGTTATTTAAATAAGTACTTATATAATTTTTGTGACAGCGAACTGCAATTATAAATATTTTAATCTTGATATTGAATTTTATTAACTACGACAGGTTAATTAAATTAGCAATAATGATAATTGAAATTTTATTTTGCCAAATAATTAAAAATATATATAATTTTTGAGACAGATTTACAAAAAAGAAAACCATAAAAACAAGGTTGAATTGACACTTTTATCTACTTATTTAAAAATAGTATAAATGAACTCGAGGTATAAAATTATGTCAGATTAATTGTTCATGATGCTGTAACGGAAGCGCAGAGCGTAGAATGCTGAATTACTTATTTAATTTATCTGTTAATACTTAATTCCAATGTCAATATATGTCAGTAATTCGTTTAGACTTCACCGTTCATACAAATTACAATTAAAAGTATCATTGGTGCCAATTTATTTATTATTCGAACACGCAAAATACACAACGACTTATTGTTCGCTATAAAAAATACGATGTACAATATTGTTGATATAAACTTGTTGATTTAAGTTTTCAATAATCATTTGAATAACAGTTCCATTTAAACATTAGTAATAATAAGCATTAAGTAAGAAAAAATACATAGCCCAAGTGTTTGACACTTGTCTTTAGAGTATTCTCTGCTTGACTCGTTGAATTATTATTGTTACTATATTATTATTTTATTATCATCATATAATATTTGATACCGCACCAAAAAATGTATACATGACTTTCAAAATATGATTTCACAGACAATTGTTATTCAGAATATTTGAAATTAAAATGTCAGATGTTAATAATCACAAAATTAAACAGGTTTCTACAACCGTGGAAATTAATGAAAAATTCCGTTCATCGTATTTTGAACAATCCAAACTTAAACACTTAAAAAACAAACTATTGTCAAAGCTTAAATTTCTACTTGAAGTTATAGAATAATACAGCATGAATGATTTTGACTTTATTTACACCTTCTGAATTAATTGAATTGCACATTTTATAAAATAACATTTCAAAAATAATTATTCATTTAAAATATAATTTTAATTTAATTTTCGAATACTGCATGTACCTAGATATAAATTATTCGATTTAGTTTTAACTTCAATTTTAATTTTAACCTATACTAAATAAAACTAACTAACTTTACTAAATTAAAATTAACTTGAGTGATATTTATTATTTACAGTCAATGAAGTATAAATATTTATATTCCTCTACTTTAGTATCTAAAATTACGCATGTATAATATATATATATACTTATATTATATTGTAAATTAATAAGTGTAGGTATAAACAACTACATATTAAACATTTTACAAAAAAAATGTTTGAATTATTATCTTTTTACCTATAAAAATGTATCTTAGTTTTTTACGATCATTACTTTTTCAACAATAAAGAAAACACATGCTATCTTTGATTAAAAACTAAAAGTTTCATCTAAAGGTATTCTTTTACTCACTCAAAATAAATTAAAATGTGAACCGAAAGTAAATCTAGAACCATAATAATGTAGGAGATTTTAATTTATGTACGTCGCTTATATGAAATTTGATCGATTTAGTTAGATTAGGTAACTATTTACAAATAGTACAATACTGACTTAAATATAAATACTGATTAAAAAAAAAAAATTACTCACATTAAATAATAACATTGAATCACATAAAATTACGTCGGGGGGATGCTAAGCCGAAATGTTTTACATATTTTTTCTTGTCTACCGATTGTATATAACAGACAGACTGCAAAATAATTGTTCTACAAATAATTTGTCCTCCATTGATGTACCTATATGAATTTTATTTTAATTTAACCCCAACACTCACTATAATGAAAATACCTATATAAGCTGGAGACGAAATGTATGTCGAAGTAATATCCTCTTAAAATAATATTCACTATGATGGAATCATATTTTATATTATCTTAGTTTGATCTCATCTGTCGTGATGTGATGTATTTTACTTTATTAATTTAGATATATGGTTTTGCACATTATAATATAATCCAAGTAAATTAATTAAATAATACTTTTATAAAACAAAATATATTATGTTTCATTGGTTGAACATAAATATATAATTTACCTTGACCGGCGAATCAGTTTGACTAAGAAAATGTACGATGTAAAAAGCTTTCAGAAGTTATTGAAGGAACGTTTTCATATTTTTGTAAAACAAAAACTTTGAGGTAGCCCGGAGTTTATACGGCGTAGGTAGGTATGGGTAGGTATATATATGAAATAATAAAAATAACTTTTAAAGAAGAACAAATCCGAATTTTCAATTCTAAGTTGCCGCCGTGCCATGTTTGAATGTAACTTTGGAAAATATTTAAGGAAAATAAATGTATATTTTAATATTCTAAATTTGAATCTACAAAACTTAAAAAAAAGTTTAGCACATGAATAAACATTTTATTGTGTTTGAATATTTTTTTTGCACAATTCTTCCAACAATTTTTATCCAGTATAAACTGTTTTTACACGTTTATTGGTCTGAATGTCTAAATGTCTTGACATTGTAATGTTGAATGTTAATATTAATTTCATTCTGTGCATGGAATGTTTTAAATTTGTTAACCTTCATCGTGATCGCGATTTCAGTCAATACATCAATAAAACAACTTGATGGGTTTAAAACGAATTACATTTTTCATATATAAAAAATAATCAAATAACCAACTCGCTTCTAAGAAGGTATAATATATAATTTCAATAAATTATACGTCGAATTAATACCTCACTGTATAGTTAGTTATATAAATATTATAGTGTGATGCGCGTGTAGGTCCTATACCTACCTACCTATAACCTACATATTATATTACGTGAATTCAGAACCAAAATATATGTGCTATCTCAAAATATCAAATCGTTCAACGGTTTTAAACTTCAATGAGTTCAATCTATACTTTCCTATCTACTTTCGCAATGAATGGTTTTTAATTATATTGTCAAATCTGAAAATTAACATAATCGTTCTGTTAAGTCTTGAAATTTGATTTAGTTTTAAGCAAAACTTAACAAAAAATAAATGAAACGAAATTATACAATATAATGTTTGTCAATTCGAACCTCTTTGATATCATTACATTTTTTTCACTTAAGAACTTTTTTGTTCTGAATTAATGTATCTGTTTTCTGGTAAACGAAATTCACATGTACGAAATTCGATTACACAAAAGAAGATGATATTGAAAACAAAATAATGTGATGGTATACAATTGTTTATTTTGTTGATAAACGTACAATAATTAATAGTGTTGTTCTATAACCATATTATTACCTTATGGTTATTGTAAAAATGTATGATTGATACAATGAATATGATAGTACTTTATACTTAGTAATTTGATCACGTTGATAGAACCTATATACTATAGTTTTAAATATTACTGCTAAAATTGAAAGGATCTATTCATAGATAGAATAACAGCCTTGTAAAATATATTTATTTAGCAACTCTTAACTATAGATAATAAACCTTATTAATCCATCGTGACACATAATTATTATTAGTTATAACTTATAAGTCACAGCATACTTTGGATAAACATTGTCTATTTGCCAAAAATAAGTAGGTACTTACCTATTAAGATTTAAGACCACGAAATAAGTGAATACACAAACATCATAACATTTATAATATTATCTAGAAATATTTTAATTAAGTTCTTAAGTAAGTTTTCAGAACACACCCGTTGGGAAACACTAACTAGATACACAGTTCACTGTAAGCTCAAATTCCAAAACATTGACAACTAAACCTGTATGTGAATAAAAATGAGATTTTCGAGAAAACCGATTTAGCGCCTTTTTTGGTTCTGAACTCACAAATTTAAACAAATTATAATAGTTACCTTCGTTCAGATTGCTTCCAATGAGTATGTCGATGTCCGAAAAGTTGGCCTTAGCCAACATGTCCAGCGGGTGTTCCGGAAGGAGAACGCCGTCCACGGTGGGCGCAGACGGGAAACCCAAAATACCGGAATAGCTGTTCCACTGCTTTTTGGATATGGTACTTGCGTCAACAGCTCTCATGCACGACATGGTGGCAATCGGGTTGCTATCCAACGTCGTCGAATTGCAATTGCAATCGTCCAACAACTTCTTTGCTATGTCTACTGCCCGTTCGCCAGTCATGTAGCTCCAAGGTGCGTTCACGGTGCCAGACTGTATGATCCCGCGTCTCACCATTCCCCTTGTCTCCGGCGAAATTAAGTGCACGCTCACCTGTGCGATAGATGATCGATATAATATAGTCGGCATTGCTGTTTCGTTATAATATCGACGAATTTGATGATATGATATATATCGAATTAGGGGTACCTTTTTTTTGTGTCTTAAAACTATATTGCCTGCAAGTAGTATGTAATAAATTTGTTCGCTCATAGCCCATGTTAATTTTTCACCAAAATAATCACACAGTTTTCAAGAGCTAATACCCCGCTCAAAAATCTTTATTTTACTGTATACCAATATATTACAAAGAGATTGCACAGACGTTGATCGCCAATTATTTGCAGTGCCTCGCACAAAAATATTTACGGTTATACTGTATTCACATTAACACACATACATTTTGTGTATTTTCATTCAAAACAATTTCATAAGGAATTATAAATTATGAAATAAGACATAATTAATTTATACTCCAAAGTTAATAGATAAAACATTTTTTTAACAAACAATTAATTAACCAAGTTGTGTTTTACTTTCTCAATTTCACGAGTGAACTGTCGACTTACCAAATTGTATTCTTTTACTGGTCGAAAAAATTATTTTAGTTTTTATGAAAAGGTTTAAAAAACTAAAAGTTTGCACATGATAAATATTTTTGTGTAACCAACACAGTATGCGTACAGAGTAAATATTTTTATATAAGTGACAAGCTTATGGCCAAAGACTGTGAAATGTAAATACGGTAAAATTAAAATGTTTCAGTGGGACATTCCCGCTTGAACATGGTGTGCTTATTTCGGTTGAAAAATGAAATTGGGCTGCTGTGAAGGAACAAAATATGTATAATATGTTACTCATACACAGATCATCACACATTTTTTTACACCGTTAACGAATCAGGGATATTTTAAACTGTTTTTGGTTATGGTATGTCTTAGGTTAGTAGTATGGCTTTTATATTATATATCTATTGTATTAATATGGGTGGACAATGTTTTCTCCGAAAATGAACTTCATTTAAAAATGGACGACCCTTACAATTTATACGGTTCATATAACGCTATCATGGCAACATAATATAAATGTACACACGTCAATAACAGTTGCAGACTTACTGATCCACCACCAGCCGATTCGCCGAACAACGTAATTGTCTCAGGATCAGCGCCGAAAGCCGCCGCGTTTTCTTTGATCCACTTGATAGCCAGCGCCTGATCCCATAATCCCATATTGCCAGGGGCGTCGTCGCTATCCTCTGGCAGCTCGGGCGTTAAATACAACGAACCAAATGCCCCGAGCCTGTACTGCATGGAGGCGATCATCACGTCGAACGTGGCCGCCAGCAGATCGCCGTCGTAGATGTCCAGTGTCGAAGTACCGGACATGTAACCTCCCCCGTATATCCAAACCAGAACCGGTATCTGCAGTACATACAGGACAAGTAACACGTGAATGGTTTTTTTTTTTAAGCAAATCGATCGAATAAAAGAAAACATAAGATGAATACAGGGTCATTCACCAAGGCTAACCTAACCTGCTAACCCCCATTTTTTCTTTTAATAATAAATTTATTCGAAGTCTGATTTTCGAAATTTTTAAATATACTCAAAGACCATATTTTCAAATTATTAAATTTTTTTGTATTGTTTAAGAAGTGTCCTGTGATTATACAAACTTCTGTTTTTTAAATGAGAACTCCCCCCTTTTTACTGTAAATTAATTAGTGGATAATTTATTGAAAATGTTGATGCACTACATTCAAAATTTGAATGGGTAGTTTCTGACTTAATAAAATGTTTGTATTAAGTATAATATAGTTCTTATTAAAACTGGTTTTACATAAATATAAAATATACGTCAAATTGGGTCTAGTATTTACTATTTATCGCATACTTGGGCCATTTCAACAAATTATTAATATCGACAAATCGATAGATTAATATTAATGACTACAATTTTCAAATTACCATACCTCCCGTATCTTATTAATTCATTACTATGAACCTTTTATCATTGGAACTCAAAGTCAAAGAACTCAAAAACTAATAGTCCGAATTTTGATTTTGATATGTTAAAAATGGCAGAAAAACTATCTTCTTTGTACTTTATAGTTGAATAACGGTTTTCTAGTTTGAAAAAGAGAAGTTTGTATATCCAAAAGACACTCCTTAGGTAGTACAAAAAATCTCATAAATTTGAAAATATAGTCTTGAAATATATTTAATAATTTAAAAATCAGATTTTTAATAACTACATTATTGAAAGAAAAAAAAGGAATGGGCATACTTGGTGAATCGAGCTGGATATTTGAAACAACACGAATCGCTGAGGGGCATGTCATCAACATGTTTTTTAGACTGAGCGTACTTACAAGATCGAAAGGATACTACGGTTATGCATATTTATAGCAAACGCAATTGTAAACGCATATGATGGCACGCATGGCTCTTGAACGTTTTTACCTTTTGTATTTTATCGCAGGTGACTATATGGTAATTACATTATTCCGTGAATGCCAATGATTTTGTGAACAAAATACGTGACAAAATACAGCATGTAGATTTTATATTATGTGGTAAATAAATTATGGGCTTTAAACTAAAATTAAATTTACAATATTATACCAATATTCGAATTAATCAAATATTATGGTACTATGGTGGTGTACCTATAACTTCATTTTTACATATGTGATAAAAAAAATCAATTAATTGATTTATCGAATGAAGTTAGTATCAGGTATACGTACAAATAAATGTAACCTGGGCAAATAATAATAACATGGCACAAAATGTATTAAAATTATGTTATTTAATGTTTTTATAAAGAGTTCATAATAATATTGCCATTACTTCGATTTTAAATGTAAATTTTTATACTACTATAATTTTTTTAATTTTTTTATTCAAATATTTATAATTAAAAAAACTCGTGATATCTCCTGTAATAACATAGGTATTTAGTTTTCATGCAATTTAAGTACGTCAAATATTTTTTAAAATACCAAAATCTACCATCAGTATAATATAATAGCCAAGTATAATGCGTAATAATAAAAAAAATTATGTTTTTGTTTTGAATCTGAATTTGGGGTTACTATGTCACGGAATAACTTTAGTTCATTCTGCTTAATCTTTATAAAAATCTGTACATTAAAAGCTCATGTAACACGATAATGGGAGTTATTATTTTACGATGAGTTAAAATCATCTGACGTTGATGTATTGTTTGAATTTACAAAGCTGTAAAGTTCATAAACAATAGAACAGAATATAGTTATATTATATATTGTGTTATTCCAAAATTCATATCACTAATTGTGGTGAAAAAAAAACACGAATTTTATAAAGCTTAGAGGTAGTCAGCAGACATGTTTAGGGAACCATTAACTCACTATTGATTCACTAAATGTTTAATGGCTGTTTATGCGAGAACCGGCATAATTATATTTCCTACAAACTATTTGTTTGATTTATAGTCAACAGACGATGTAGCCCCAGTGTTTTGCAAGTATAAGTTCCATTTTATTGGTCCGTTAAAAAAAAAAAATGAGGTATTTAAGATGTCATTATTATAATGACGTCTAGAATACTATACAAGACTATTAAAGGACTGAAAGTATTTCGAACAGGAGACATTCGTATAATATGTTAAGCAATACGCCGATAGTCAATAAGCGTTATAATAATATTATAGGACTATATATTTTATATATATATATACATATATGCATTTTTAATTCCAATAAATTGTACAATAAAGTGGACAAAGATCAAAAATTAATTTTTGTATATCTTATTTAGTTTATATACCGCGTGAAAACATATTATCATAGACTATTTAAGATAGTATCTAAATGCCAGTTTAAAACATAAACTTAGCACAAGTAAATTTAAATATTTAAGTATCACGTTTTTTATAGATTCCAAGCGACGAGTGTATTTGAGTGTATTAGTTTTACAATGATGTAGTGTTTTTTACTTTTTATTCTTTGAGAATGAACACATTTTTCATAGAAGGAAAAATGCTTTGATTGTATCAACTTTGTCTGTAGGTTTTGGTAACAAAAAAAGATTTAGTTGATACTTTGGTAAAAAAGTAAAAATAAAAATTCCTCGTATTTTTCTTCATAATTGGGAGAAACTAAAAATAACTACGGGAATATTTGCACAACACCAATTTTTGACGAAATCGATTTTGTTATTTTGTTGATATTCAAAAACAAATAACCTTAGGTACCTACTTGCAATTTTCACCAAATATTTATATTAGAATTTTCTGGAATATTTTAGTTCTTTTTTTTATGCGTCTACAGGCATTTAAGATTTTTAGATTTTCTGTTAATGTTGATTAACATTTTTATCCTCGGTCAAAAATCTTGATAATTTAATAAAATGTTCCTAATAAGTTCATCTTAAAAGTTAAGCGTAAATATATGCACTAATTTCCAATGAACTTTTCATGAGAGCTTTGACAAAAGTTGTAAAAACCTAAAATCATGTAGTATTTAAAAATTCATAACATTTTCAATTTTAATTTCTAAGAACTGATGATTAAGGATAACATTTCTCATAAGTTTTTCTTACACGAATTAAAAAGCAAATATAAAGCGTAAGGCGTTTAATTCTGATGAACGTTTGAATTTCAAATTATAACATAATATGTAAAATAAAATCTTTTGTTATGTAGTTATAATTTAAAAAATAGATAATCATAGAAACTTGAAACATTTCATTATCACATCAATAAATTATTATTTCCCATTCAGAATGAAGTTTTTTAAGTATTAAGACAAAAGGTCATAATTTTTTTAGCTATTAAGTTTAAAATTTGAAATTTGAGTAAGATTTCATTTTTTTATTTATTGTACTGATAAAGGAATTTACCCTCAGGAAAAAAGCTCGAAACTTTAATACGAAATCCCCGATAAGTTTTTCATGTAATAATTTAAAAAATATTTTGAATACACAGCTATAACCTTTTTTTATAAACTTAGGAATTTCAAATTTTGACAAAAAAAAGTTAACGAAAATTTGAAAATTATTGTGTTGTTAATACGAAAGTATTAAAAAATAAATTAAAGTTCATTCATTATTCTAATTTGAATGGCCAACTTAGCTAAGGTTTGAAAATTGAATACGATATTTTCATAATTTGCTCTAACAGAAACCTAAAAATCTCAAAAAAATATAATATGCACAATTTTTTTTTGGATATTATTTGAATTTTCACTAGGAGTGTTATTGAAGATTTTTAAAATCTTAAGTGAAAAATAGCGATTTTAGTTTGTGGAACGCCAGTAATTGAGTTACTTTGAGTTTTGACTCTTAAGTTATTAAGTTAATAACAGTCTGTAGTAGCATAGCATAGTTATAAAATATTAGTAGTTGTTAATTTATTACCGATATCATATATTTTACTACTTTATCTTTGAAAAATTGGTCTGACTTAGAATACGGGTAGTAGTATATCTATTACCCTTTTTTTAACAGTATTACTGATAGAAGAAATAAATCACAATAATTTAGCAATATGAATATTAATATGTAATAAAATATCCTTAGAAGTATACAGGCTGACAGACTGTTTCCATCGGAATCGTTTTTCATAATGTACAATGATTAATCATTGAATTCAAATCTAACAAAACCATTACAGTAGGTACACTCGACACCCGCAATAACTGTAGTAGGGGGGAAGTCACTTCCGCAGCTTTTTTTTAAAATCGATTTAATGTCATATACCTAACCTGATTGTTTATTAAAAAGTTCAATAATGTGCTGTGGTTTCCTAATTTCCTTACCAGATAGTATTTTGAATATAATATTTTAACGGGCACGTATGCAATCTTTTAGTATCTGTACGATGTTATCAACTTATACCGCAAATAATTCATATTTTCAATAATATTCAACCCAATCCTGACATGAAATAATATCATCACAAACGTTAATATACATAGTTACCTGTATATTGCCATAAAATTACTTAGGCAGCGATCGTCTGCAACGGTTGTAATAAAATTGCATTGTAGGTAACTACTCGAATTATTATTCACATTACCTATATTATTATTACAATAACATGACACTTGCTACATCACACTTTATATATAATAGCACTTAATACATAGATAAGTGTTAATATGCAACGAAAAGAGGAAGTTTCGTCAGTTTAGGTTTTTAATCAACTCGATCGTGCACACCGGAGAAGCGTAACAAGTAGACCGAACTGACGAATCTATTAGTGTATCCTGTATACCGTATAGTAGTAGATAACAAGGCGTAAAATACAATAATTATATAATATAAACGAGCAATGGTCGCCGTACCCAATGTGATATTTTATTAAAACCATATATATATATTATTTATTATACTGTCGTTGCACCCGTTTTCTGCACGTGACACGACATAATTGCACACACACAAAATATGTAACATTGTAGGGAGTAGACAAAACAACAGAGGCTCCGGACACGGAGTGTGAGATATAAAACGATTCCAAAATAAAACCAAGGAAAATACAGATGAAAAAATATGCTTGCTTGTCTCTCCCCTGATTAAATAATATTATTGGCTGTACATTATGTAATACTGTCGAGTCTCAAACCTCAATAACTCGAAAACCCTGGTATCTCGAATTTTTTTCTCGCATCTTGACTTACCGAATATGGTATTTTATCAAAACGTTCTACTTATATATTAGACTGTAGTTACACTCGTTCTCTGCACGTGACACGACATAATTGCACACACACGCACACACACACACCCAAAATATGTAATATTGTAGGGAGTAGACAGAAAAACAGAGGCTTCGACGCGGAGTGTGAGATATAAAACGAAACAAAACTGAGTAAAATAGGGGCAAAAAATACTAACGTGTCTCTCTCCAGCTCATCGTCATTAAATAATAATATTATTGGTTAATATTATGTAATACGCAGTCGAATCTTGATAGTTTGACTTTTTTTTGCCCCTTGAAGTATATTTAAGTTGTGTTCGAGGTTAACTCAAAAAATACACAAGTCAAACTTATTTTTACTCCGCTCTAGATTCGAGTTATCGAGACTTGATCGCATTGCATAATATATAGCCAGTCATAATATTAAATCAAGAGAGGTTGAAGAGAGACACGTGAGTATTTTTCAGTATTTTTCACGAAACGCAAAATATACTGTTAAGTGTAAAATTAAAATAAAAACCTGCTTGTGTCTCAGTAATAGTGCGACCAAGACTCAGTGTGACACAATATCATATATATCAATCAAGTTCACTTGAGTATCAAAAAAAAATTGATATATTTATATTATTGCTGTGGTGACAGCTAATCCGTAGCTGCTAAAAAAGGGAAAAAACGGTATCCCTCCAATTGATCGAACCACGAATAGTTGTTAGAAAAACAATTGCTCGAAAACTAAAATGGTTAGGTTAGATGTATACGTCAACATTAAAAAAATACAAAACCAATATAAATCAATATAATTATGAATAATATATACTATGTTATTTGTTCAAATTTAATTTTCGATTGAAAATTAAAGACTGGGTTATACATTTATAATCATCACTGTTCCGATATTATATTATGTAGAGCGAATTTTCGTATAATGTTTTCGGCGGTTTGCTGACAAAAGTGTATTGGCAAAGTCGATTGATGCTTTTTTCTATTTTTAAAGCTTCAATATTAATGGCATGTTCCCACTTAAAATTGACGTAAAACAGTTGTTCCAAACTTCAACGGAATAATTGTTGTAACCTTGATGTATTCTTAAAAAACATTTCCAAACTTCAATCTCAACTTTTGGGTATTTTTCTTCTACTCCTAATTTACCTTACCATGTATTTTAAAAATAATTTAAAATGGGTTTTAACATTTCTTCATTTTCTGGATAATAATTACTTTAAATTAAAAGATTATAATGTCTGTTCACATCCTTAACAATTCCTCGTTATTGAATTTAAAAAAAAATCTAGCTAGTTCAGCTTATGATAAAAGTAGATACTAATGTAGGTACCAATTAATTACCAATAATAAATTAGACCTATAAGATATGTACAATAACTTTTAGCTTAAAATTTATTGTTGATAGCGAGGAATTGTTTTTCGATCAAAACTTTTCTAGCAATTGTCGCGTGATAAATTGTTTTCGATAAATTGACATGCATCCGAAAACAAAAACATTTAATAATAGGTTTTCAAAGGTTTTTAAAATAATTTGTAGTGTTTTTTTTTAAAAAAAATTTTTTTGTATATCGGTTCTTTTTTGCTTTAATATTCTTTAACTAAAAGCTTCATACAGGGCGTAACTCTGGTGATAAACTATATCATATAATACACTATATACATTATACACATATCAAAACAATAAAATATATTGTATACGCTTAGTAAGTATAATAGGTACGCATAGAAATGTACTGTTAAAGATTAATAATTTATACAAATTAACCAATACACGCCCGCACCTATGATGTAAGTACACTATCCACACCCCGACCACTATGATCACACCGTTATGTTCAGTAGGTACACTGTATATTGTATGACGAGTACCTAATATCCCCACCATCGATCTGAATATGGTATAACGTTCAGAGTGTATAGGTGCAGACGACTCACCTTGGCGTGATGCGCATTGTTCGAATGATGCCTGGTGCGTTGCTTCTTCGGTATCCAGATGTTCAGGTACAGGCAGTCCTCGGAGAGCTTGGTATTCGGGTTCCACATCTCCTCGCCAACGAACCCGGGAAAGTACTCGTACCGCTCCTGGTAACAAGTGTTCGGTAGCCTGGTGGCGTTCAGCACGCCTGTCCACGGATCGACGGCCACCGGGCGCCGGAACCTGAGCGGGCCTACCGGCGGCTTGGCGAACGGTATGCCCGTGTACACCCGCACCTCGCGGTTCGCAATGATTTTCGTGTACCCCTGCACCATGCCAGAGCTGGTCACCACCACCGGGCTCTCGTCGGTGTCGTCTACCCCCGACCCACCGCCACCACCACCGCCACCTCCACCGCTTCCACCGGCTCCGGCACCACCTCCGCCGCCGCCACCACCGCCACCGTCCGCTCCGCCATTAGACGACGGCCGGCCCAGGACAGCCGAACAGCACAGCAGCAACGTCACTGCACTGGTGTAAACGCAGTCGACGCTCATTTTTCTAAGTTTTATTGTGGTCACGTTGGTGTCCTAGCAGCAGCAACAGCAATATACGCGTGGGATCTACAGAAAATCAATTAACAATAAATGCGTTAACTCGATGTGTATTATTCATGGAAAAACCATAAAAAAAATGGCAACCGACGTCGGTTGTACAACGAGACACTAAATTATTACGTATGTCGTCGACAGTCACGAGATTATTATCTATAGACGTGACTCGATATTAGCTGTTTATGTAATAATAAAAAAATTATATAACAGTAATCAATTAGTAATATTAGAATAAACGTGTTACATTATTGAGTATTATACAATATATATTTTATAAATGTTCATATTTAATTTATTTGTAAACCATAATTACTCCATCTTAAACTAATATGATATTACCAATAATTTATTAATGCGTGAATCACTAATAAAGTTGTACCTTTCGACCATTCCTGCAACTGCATTATTTAACAATAATATTACTATATCAATAATTAGACAGACTTGATATCACAGTTTTTAAAATATAAGTAAGAAAATCACATTTTTTTACTTTAATTGAATGTAAAATGTCAATACAATTATAATATAATATAATTATTTATTCGCATACAAACCTTCTGCGAAGTGCAAATGCAATTTTCTACTAAAGTATCAAGTGTGTAAAACTCGGAACAAACAGTGTTCGTTAGAGGCGTGTGCTTTCGTAATAACTTGAGTATAAAATAGTGCATGGTTTATAATCAAATTAAATATGAACTTAAAAAAAAAAAAATATAATATTCAATAATGTAGCACGTTTCATTACGTGGGTACTTGTATTCAAGTAAATACTTGTACTCACACTCCATATATGATTTAAGGAAAGATCACGATTGTTCTCATTATTATTTTTTATACGGTCTTATTATTTTGATGTAGACTATTTCGTTTCATTTTAATTTAATTTTTCATATTTTATTATGTGTACAACCCAATTTGCTATGCTAAACTTTAAAAATCAACTTTCGTGTAACCTATTTTGTGCTTCATTTAATAACTTTAACTGTATTATATATTTTTTTTTTATTATTATTCAAATGTGTTTTTTTTTGGAACAAAATTGTTTTTTGTAGGCAGTTATTTGAAATGTCGAAAAAAAAATGTTCCTTGGATGTTTGAAAAAGTTTTACTCCCAAAAACACACTTTGTACTGCACCGTTATACCAGTACCTAGGTAACCAATAGGCAATGACTTACGAGGTAACTGGTTTTTAAACTAGGTTTTGTTAATGGTTTCCGTGTAACCATATAATTCTCTCTTGAGCCATTAGGGCAGTTTCATCCACTTGTATTTCGCTTAACCCTAAATTACCCAAGTCGTTAATAAATATTTAAAACGATATTGGCGAACACAGTCGAGGTAAGCCAACCACTGTAGCTCTTGACTTTCGACTACTGATTCGTTCGTCGGGCTTATACTACTTCGTGCATTACAATAAAACATAAACATTTAATTTACGTGTACATAATAAAATATAGTGGATCGAGCGTGATATCATTACAAACAATGAGCTGATTGTGTGCTGTTATACAAATATGCCAAACATGAATGGGCATTGTATAATATTATGTTCTATTTTATATTACATAAAAGGTTAATAATAGTGGTTTTGAAATTGATTCAATATTATCAGATCATCAGATACATCAAAATGTATAACTTATTGTAATATTTAGTTTAATGAGGCACTTTATTTGCATAATGCGTTAGTTTATTATAATATGATGTACCGATAACCGATCCACGTGCCATTCCCGTATTATACGTTTGTTCTCAACCCCTCCCCCGTCAATCTCATGAACTCTGTATTGTAATCTTTGTGCGATTTACACACTATATTTACATAAGTGCTTATTACTGAATGACAGTCAGACGAATTCGAGGTTCTACTACAGAATGCCCTCAATTCATGTCCCGGAAAAAATTGCATGCATCTTACAATTTTAATATATTTTATGAATGTCTTTTTTTTTTAAACTTCTTGAGTAGAATATATTAAATTTAATACATAGGTACACAGTAGCATACACATATTAAATATACATATAGTTAATTAAATGAACAATATAAGTTGAAATTAACGAATACATAATAGTGATCTACCTATTTGTCGTTTTTCCTGAATGGTTATTGATGTACATTTTAGCTATTGCATTGAAATTTGAAACGTAATAATAACTGCATTATGTCTGTATTTCGAATAATATCTTTATTCCTTATGGCTGCCAATGCATATTTATTCTCCTATTTGATACATCTCGTATCGTTTACTAATCAGTTGTTTAACTCTTGTGCGACCAGACATTTTTATAATTATAATATTCAATGGATTTAAGGTTGTCTTTTTTAGTCAATCTAAAACTTCTATATATTACTGTGATGGATAAAACAACTAAAAGTTTTTGAAATTTACTACGGTATCCTCAACTGCATTATTTGTGCCTTTTATTTTTACACATTTTTTTATTAGGATATTTTATTGCTAACATTTTTTTTATTGGGGCATTTTATTGAGAACATCCTTTTTTAGGACTTAAATAAATTGTTTCCTTTTGTCGAGGACATCCGATCTTGAAATTGATTGTGGTGTTAAACAATGTTTATGTGAGAAAATACTGTATGTATTTTAAGTTTAAATGTGTAATAGCTATACGCTCTAGTGGAAGCGCAAGATGTGCCCAATATTATGTCAATCACATCATGTTTTACCACGGACGGAGATGTGCAACATTATAATATATTGTATTAATAATATATATAATAATAATAATATTATATATAATTTTAATAGAATGCGACGAAGTATCGTGTAAAATGTATTTCAACGTCGCCAGATACGTATATTGATTGGTACTTAATTTTCTTTTTATAATCATATAAAACTAATTGTGATAGGTAAGTTAAGGTATCAGTACCTAATAGAATAAAATGATTCATACGTAATCTTATGCGGTATCGAACAATAATAATTGAAAAATTTAACACCACGTATCATAAGAGTTCTTATTTATGAAATTAACTATATTTATAAACTATAAGTAGTAGCGATTGATCCATAAGTGCCTATAAATATATTTTATATATAAGGTAGCTAATATGATAAAAACGTATAAAGTTTCAATGGCTTGAAAAAATAAAAAATAAAATGTAAAAGATGTTTTCAATTTATTTTTTTGTTATAACAAAAAGACTTTTTTAAGTATCTTTCGTTTTTTATTAAAGAAATTAGATTTTGTTAAGTGTGAAATAAGTTTTTTTTAAAGGTATATTACTATGTAGTACGCATCTTAACAATTTAAAATTTAGTAAAATGTTATAAAAACTTTTTTAAAAGAACTTGGTTTAAAGAAAAATCGAAAATGTTAATTTATTTATGTGCAAATCTATCTTACAATAATATAATATAATATATTCAAATATGAGATAAAGACTAAAAAACCAAAATTGAATAACTAGATACCCTAAATTATTATTAGTTTTACTAGGTACGTCTCAAAAGTGTAAATATTATATGTACTTATGATGTACTTGGAAATGAAAATGACATGTCCTTAATTTATTTTCTTATAGGATGACTCCACGTAAAAGAAAATATAATATATAGATTATAGGTATATAATCAAAGTCTTCAACCACGGTTGTGATTTTTGTGCACTTAAACTTATTTTAGTATTTCTGTTTGTCTTAAAATCTTATTTTTGAACACAGGCACACTGTACTATGTTTACGAATCACATCTATACGCACGAAGACTGTTTTAAAGATTACAACACATCTATAAATAAATTTATAAATTATAAAATATAACAGCGAGTGTTAGTTGTCAATAGATAAGAAAAACATTTCAACCTTAATGCCACTGTATAATAATTATTGTGCTCGCATCATATAATTATTGATTTGACTGCCTCTTATATTGGTTTTGGCTTTTACCCATTTGACCTTTGCATTCATTTTTTTATATCCACATACTATGCCCCACTTCATACTGACGCTTATAAAAAAATTATGTTATGCTTAGAAGCAGTCTTATAAAAACACTTGTGCATTTTCATGGTATCAAACACATTCAACAGCCATTTTGACAAGCATATAATTTATTCAACGTATTACAATAATTAATTGTACTGTTTGATGAAGTCGTTAGGTATTGAAATAATTGAATTTGTTTGTATAAAAATGAATGTGACTTTAAAGTATAACCCTGGTATAGTATTTTTTAATAATGAGAAGTGTATTATGAACTCTTTTCATTTTGCCAAGTCAGTATTTGTTACATAACTGTCATAGAAAATTTAGAACAATGATAGGTAGGCACATTAAACGAAATATTGTGACTTGAAGTGTCCGGTTTACTTCACTTAAATGAGTTGTTAAATTTTTATTGAACGTTATTCAAATTGTTAACACTGATTTAAAAATAATTATGTCAAGAGTTTTGACATGCATCTATGTACAAATAAAAGTCAATTGATCGTATATTATAAATTATAATAAATAAATAAATAATAATACACATGGTACTAGGCTTTATAGCGCATTACTTGATTCTTGTAAGTAGTAACTCATTTAAAATCTCTTAAAATAATGGCTTTGAAACAGACATTATGGGTAATATAAACTCATAAATATTCAAGAAATATTTTATGTATATTATGTAAATATTATTTAACAAGTTTTGAAACTGATGAAGAGAATCCTTATGCCAACTATTATAGTCCGTTGATTTTATTTATACAAATACAATTAGGTATAACTTTTTTTATTTTTTTTATTAGCGTTTATTAATAATTATAGCTCAAAATAGGTATTACTTATTATGATAAAAGAAGGGAAATAAAATGTTTTATTTTTACCAACTCTGTTGTTTTAAATTTTATTTCACTAAAAGACTAAAAAACGTTAATTTAAAACTTAATAAGTTATTTAATTAAATATGTTTGTCACAAGTATTTTATTGTACTGAAATGGTTATGCGATTTGTTGTTGTTGTTATATTAGGTATAATTTATTATGTTCAAAAAGT